AAGCTTTTTTGTGATTATATTCTGTCTTAAATTGAAAGAAGTTTGATAGATGAAGATCATGCCTATCCTTTCAGGATTTCAAGGAGTTCGTAAATTTTTCAGGGATTGAAGGACGTAAGTATCTATGGATCTGATTGGCATCTTCATCTATCAAACTTCTTTCAATTTAAGACAGAATATAATCACAAAACAGCTTTTTTTATATTTTTGTATCTATAACTTGAAGATTGGCGTATGTCAACCTTGGCGTGTCAGCAGAGCCAATCAGATCCATAGATACTTACGTCCTTCAATCCCTGAAAAATTTACGAACTCCTTGAAATCCTGAAAGGATAGGCATGATCTTCATCTATCAAACTTCTTTCAATTTAAGACAGAATATAATCACAAAAAAGCTTTTTTTTTTCATTTTTGTATCTATAACTTGAAGATTGGCGTATGTCAACCTTGGCGTGTCAGCAGAGCCAAGCGGATCCATAGACACCTAATTCCTTTAATTCCTGATCATTAGTCTTAAACTAGACATTATACATTTATCCTTTTAATTGAATATGATGTATTGTATTTTTTTTCTTAATAGTTTTTTTTTTACTCTTATTGAAAATATTTACGTAACTAGCGCCGGAACTTGGACCGCGGTATGTTAAAATTCGTGTCCACTTGCCCCAACATAACTTTTTGGACGTAGATCATACTGAATAGTTCGGAGATTAGTGTTAATGTCCATTTATGTCCATATGTTAATCATTGTTCATAGTGTTAAACTATACAGAACCCGCTGAGTTAAAACCGAAATTACAGGGCACCCCGAATCGTCAACTTGTCCAAGATATAACGACTGCCTTGTAAGTCATCCCCTTCAAAGAAATAATCAGACGGAACTAGCAATTTTTGCAACACCGGAGAAAATCGCCGCGCAAATTCTTCCAAGGAAAAATGTTACGCCATTGATTCATCGATCCCTGAGCAAACAGTGCTGTTCAATATCCGTTAGAAAACAACCGGAGGTCCGAATGACACTTTCATATGTGTGTAAACATTTACAATTCCAAGTTTACTTGAAAGAGCATAAATTTCAACCTCTTGATAAATGTGTGGTGATTAGTGACCGTTAGTCTAATGATTATTCGGACATCGTGAGATGCGGTCTGGTGTGACGTAGGTTTTAGAAAAACATTTTGTTTATCGTGCCAACGTTTCGATCTTTATTGCGATCATCTCCAGGGCTCAAAGTGTTTGTTTCTGAGTAATTGTGTCATTCTTGTGTGTCGTGTTGGGAATGCCGACAGACAAGAATGAATCCACTCGGAAAACAAACACTTTGAGCCCTGAAGATGATCTCATTAAAGATCGAAACGTTGGCTCCATAAAGAAAATGTTTTTCTAAAACCAACGACACACCAGACCGCATCTCTTGATAAATTTTAACTCTTCAAATTAATTATTCAGAAATCGTGAGATGCGGTCTGGTGTAGGTTTCAGAAAAACATTTTCTTTATCGTGCCAACGTTTCGATCTTTATTGAGATCATCTTCAGGGCCTGGGATTCACAAACATTGTTTAAATTTAACAAATACATGTAGGATGTGGAAAAAAGTGAATTTATACAATGCAAAATATATTTTTTAAATTAAGATGATCTCATTAAAGATTGAAACTTTGGCACGATAAAGAAAATGTTTTTCTGAAACCTACATCACACCAGACCGCATCTATGGACTAACAGTCACTACTCACCACACATTTCTTCAAATTTAAAAAAAAAAAAAGAAAGTTTTTTAGAATCTATCAATGCGTTAACTAAATAAAACCATTGAAATTATGCAAGATTTATGCAAATTTAGGTGTTACATCATCATCAAGTCCGTCATTTTTCGTTTTTAATCTAAACCAATACAGACATTCACACAGGAAACAAATCAACTTGAACGAAATCCCTTCAAATCCCATTTGCATTTAGCCTCCCAACAATTTGACAACTCAACAAATAACGCTGTCCGATTCAATTTATTCAAATAGCCTCGATATTATTTAGGTCTATCAGCAGATAAATTACAAAAAAAAAGAAGAAACAAAAATGCCAAGTTTTGAATACGATACTCTGACATTTTATTACTTCTTTCAATGTTTATTGAATTTGAAAAGGATTCAACCGGACGCTTTCTCTTTGGGATTCTGAGAAAATTCTAGCGATGAGCCTGTTTTCAAGGCTTGTACGCCCCAATTTCTACAAAGGAACACATCACTTCTGCCACTAAAACTGTCTCTGAAAAAATACCCACATCATTTATCAAGCCTACTATACAGTTACTAAAATTAAATTTTGGAAAGGTTTGAAAAATTAGTTCAATTACTTAAAAAATACCTTTTGTCTATGCAATAGTTGGAAGGGGGGCGTCGGTGGCCGCAACGGTGCGTTGACACGGTGCTCATCACTGAAAGGGAAAGGTCCCCGGTTCGAATCCAGCGGCCCTGCATTCGAACCCGACAAACTTACAAATGGTTTTGTTTTCAAAAACACCGACACCCTGAGGTTTTATATAACCTCTGCTGTTTCGAACCCTCGTAAAAAATTTAAACAATAGTTGGAAGGCGTCAGATGCTCAAGAGGAGATTTTAAAAAAATTGATCTGATAAGGATGCCACGAGTTAAATCGCCTGGAAAGATTCCCGTTAATCCAACCTGCAACGTGATTTGGAATTTTAGTTAATGCAAAATTATGAAGAAAATATGGTTAAGGCAAGACAAGAAAATAAAAAAGTGAATCGACCTTCTACCACACCAGACCTCCCTTCTTCAGACTACAGCGTCTCCCGAGTAATAGCTTCCTTGTGGTAAAACGTTTCATTCCTTAGAATACATCAAATCTAAAGGAGATTTCTAGTTTACCACTGCGTTTGGAAAGTTTTTTTTTCAACAAGGCAAAAACCTTTAGAAATTAGATAGAATATAACATTTACCGTCCTGAAATTGCTCCTTCAGTCTACCTTCACTCAGGAGCAAGGTTTATTTCCTTAAAGGAAAAACGTTTCAAGCATTATAATTGGGAATTAGCACTGTAGTTGACACTTTTGGCATCCAAAAGTGCAAACCGACTCTTAAGACAAAATGAAATAAAGCCCGACGTAATAATAAACCAGTATGAAATCCTTTTTAAAAAAATATGAAAAAATATATGACATGACTAAAAAATGTCTGACAAAATTGAATAACAAGAAAATTTAGACAGATCCAAATTGTTTGTAAGAATAAAAACCATGGAACTAGATGGGGTATGGTTTACAGATGGATCTAGAATAGAACATGTAGTGGAGGTGGGAGTTGAAGGCCCATTTTTTTTTGCCTAACCTTTCGGTTTTAGCCATACACCTAAGGCCCAAATTTTAACCTAAAACCCTTTAGGCCCCACACCATCAATTTTCCAATCTTAGGTCCATGCAATAGACCTTTGTGCACAATAAATAAAAAAGAACTTAATGAATGAAGAAACTCCTCCACCTTCAATTCAAAACTTGTCTGACAACGCTTACCATACCTGTTAAACAATAAAATTTATAAAATCTTCCGTACACTCTTGCCGCTTCCTATCTAGTCTTGTTTCTGTGTTCTAGAGTCTAAGATCTGCCGCTGTTGTTATAACTATAAAATATAACTTATAAGTTTTTGTGAACTTAGACTTTTATTCAAGCCCTTTTAATAATAATACCTTTAGCTTCTGGGAAGGTATCAGCTAACTCTGAACTGTGGGTACCAGAATAAGAGAGGATTGAAGGCAACATACAGGCTGACAAACTAGCAGAAGCAGGATCGGAATCACATTTTGGCACACCCCAAAACGAATTAAAAGAATTGAACAAACGCTATTAAAACCAGTATTGGAGGGGTTATGGCTTGATGACTGAAAACGATTTTTCAGAAAAATTTCATTTTTTTCTTTCATTCACCTTACCTTAATAAGTTTTTAATTAGGCTAATAGAAGATTTTATTTCAAGTACGCTGCATTTTTTTAAGCAATTAGGGATTGTAAGACTAGGATGACTTCTAAATATTGACAACCTACTTTCTAGTTTTATTTCATCAAGTACCAGAAAATTTAATACTTCCAACATTACTAAATATTCTTACTTGGGGAGTTTTACAGGTAATGCACGCATTTCATTGCAAAGTGGTAGGCGAGGTTTAAAAACAAAAAAGGGCTTAAAGTACATCCTTGTCCAACTCCACATATAATAACCTTTTCTGTCTCTGATTCAACAAAAATTTATGTGAAAGTGGAAATAATGATTATTTGGAAATAGTGAGGTGCGGTCTGGTGTGACATAAGTTTTAGAAAAACATTTTCTTTATCATGCCAACGTTTCGATCTTTATTGAGATCATCTTCAGGGCTCAAAGTGTTTGTTTTCCATGTAGATGTGTCATTCTTGTGTGTTGTGTGCATTCTCAACAACAAAAAAGAAACCAAACATTTTGAACCCTGAAGATGAACTCTATAAAGATCCGAAACGTTGGCACGATAAAGAAAATGTTTTTCTAAAACCTACGTCACACCAGACCGCACCTCACGATCTCCAAATAATCATTAACTAACGGTCACTAAACCCCACACAGTAGAAATAATCTTTACAGGAAAACTTAATTGTTTAATTTTAAGTTTGATATGGAAATAAAATATTTGTCTATAAACAAAATACAAATTGTGTAAAAATTATTGTGTAAATTGTGTAATAAAAAAAACAGTGATGTCTGCAAGATGTTTAACCTCTAACTTGATCATCACTGATCATTCTGGCCTGCCTAATGTAGATATTTTGGTTTGAATCGTTTCAGCATTTTGCCATCTTCATTGGTCGGTTTTGGTTACTTAGTTGTACTTCTTTTTAAATTGTTTTTTCTTGTTTTCACTTAAGACACAAAGTTTTATCTTATATTTTCTTCAATTAAAGTCATTTATTAATTTTTATTATTCATTATGCCATAATTCTTTTGTAGTAAAAATAAAACTTTCTAGCATTGGACTGTTTAAAAGTAAGAATAAATATGGTGACATTTGTATGTAGAAATTGAAATCCAATAACAATCAAATGCCACTGATGGAAATAACGATTGTTTCAAGAGATAACATTCATGACAAGAATATCCACGGTGATAAATTGAGAAGCGAGCCCTTTAGCTATGACCTTAATGAAATTTATGTTAGCTTTGTAAATGTTAAACTTTTTCTTTTAAACAAAAAGAAAATATAATCACACAGTCTTGGTATTTACGGTAATAATCATTTATCATTAATAAAAGTATGTCATTTAATGGATTTGTAGGTCATGGACCTGCTCAACCCAGGCACCGCTCGAAAACCCCTTGCTGTAAGATGGTCTAAGAAATCGCAAAGGTTTTTCGTCGAGAATCTTTTCACAGTCGACTGCGAAGAGCTCGATGATCTGTTAGCAGTTTTAGAAGAAGGTAGAATAATCGGAAAAAATAATTTTTATGAGTACTGACAAAGATTTTTGTTCCCAGGGATGAAAAACAGAGCTGTAGGTTCACATACTATGAATGAACATTCGAGTCGAAGCCATACTATCCTTACAGTTTATATAACTTGTGAACAGCAAGTAAGAATTTAAATTATTTTGGATTATTATTATTAAATAATTGGCACAGAGAGTTTCAATATCTAGTTAATGAAAAAAGACAACTTTTAAATTCCAATTAATATAAGCTATAATTTATATCCATAGAAAACTAAATAACAGTATGAAACCTAGAAAGCATGAGCCTAGCAGCAATAAAACTGTCAACAAGGAAATTCATTTGCTAATTGATTATTATTAAATTTCAAATTATATACATTTAATTTTATTGTAGTATTTATCTGTAAACACTGAATATGTCAATAATTACAATTAATTAAGGTTTTTAGTTGAGATAAAAAAGTCAATGGCACGAGCGGGATTCGAACCCACGATCTTCAGCTTGATACGCCGCTGCTCTACCACTTGAGCTATCGTGACCTCAATCCACTCGGATACCAACTTACCATCTCAACCGCACCTTTTGAATTTGCCTTCCTTTTTGCCATTTTTCAAAAGGATCGAGGTCACGACAGCACAAGTGGTAGAGCAGCGGCGTATCTAGCCGAAGATCGTGGGTTCGAATCCTGCTCGTGCCATTGACTTTTTTATCTCAACTAAAAACCTTAATTAATTGTAATATATTAATTTGTCAAGCGGAACACGAAATTAGTGAATTTATGTCAATAATGCTGAAAATATATCTTAAGATAGACTAGATTATAAATTATTCACTTATTATTTATAGGTTATTTGCAAATCTGTTATACAAAATCACATCCTTCTTTTTTCCTATTTTCAGATGGAAAACGGAGTTTTTATAACGAAACAAGGCAAAATCAATTTTGTGGATTTGGCCGGGAGCGAGATGACCAAAAAAACCCACAGCGAAGGGAAAACACTGGAAGAAGCTAATAACATTAACAAGAGTCTTATGGTCTTAGGTGAGATGAATAAGTAAAATGGATTTTCCACTGGCGCAGATTGCTAGATAGAAAATTCCATCCACTTTAATATTAAAATTAGAATCAAGTTTAAATGTCAAGTAGGAACGCACGTTACATTATTTAAAACAAACCAACGACAAAAAAATCAGTTTATTCGTAAATTTTCTATTGCCCATTATTGATTCTACTATGCCCAAGGATAAATATTGACAGCAGTGTTTTATGTAAAATATTTATGGCCTCAAGAATGCATAAGTGGATGGTACAAAACCTTTAATAAACCCTGACTTTCTGATCGATACTCTTGATCAATACACAAACTTTGCTCACTTTCCTTCGAGCGTAGGAGGCAACAACATGAAATTGTATTCGTACTTTTTTAGGCTACTGCATTGCTTCCCTCAGTGACAGCAAGAAGAAAAACGGCCACATTCCATACAGGGATAGCAAGCTGACAAAACTCCTTGCTGACAGTCTTGCAGGAAATGGTGTGACGTTAATGGTAACGTAAAATCTATTTTAATTAACTTTATAAAAAATTTATTGATTTACAATATTTCAGATTGCTTGTATTTCACCTGCAAGATCGAATGTTACTGAAACCCTAAATACACTTCGTTATGCATCCAGAGCGAAGAAGATCAGAAACAAACCGATAATCGTTATGGTAAGTTTACAGTGTAAAATATCAAAAATGTCTAGTAAAATACTTTTGTATTAAAGGATCCGAGAGAAGCATTGATTGTTAGCTTGAAAAGAGAAGTGACAGCTTTACAAAATGAAAACGATCATTTGAGATCTGCGTTAAGATTGAGCGCTGAATCGATCGTCAACGATCCTACACTTTCTTGTAAGTTTGTCATTTTTTCAACACTACGAAATGTGAATTACCTCCGTTTTGTTCAACAGCAAGCAGACTGAACCTTTCAACTCCACCAAAGATCGACTTGGAACGTATTGCTGATATGGAAGGGTCAGAACTGGCAGACCTCGTCAAGCACTACTCGAATGAAAACGACGCCCTTAGAAAGGAGAATGCTGAGCTTTTCGCCATCAGGGACCTACTCATCAGGGATCAAGAACTCGTATGCAGAGAAAACGAAAGACTGCTTAAGAAACTTGAGGACGTCAATTCGTAAGTGCTACACAACAATGTTTTCATTATTATAAATTTTTCATTATATTTCACTTTTAGAGTGTGCATCAGGTCTCCCATCATCCCAGCAAGGCCGACTTTGTCAGCAGAAATGCTCAACAACTCAAACAGTGACTTGGAAAGCAGTAACATATGGATGAATCCATTTGGATCGAGTACAGGATCCCTGCATAATCTAAATATGAGCCGACCAAAGGTAAAAACACAAATAAAAGTTTAGTACAAATTTACTTACTAGAACACATCATGGCACTGCTCCTGGAGGATGTGAGAAAACCAGACTAAGCTGGCACTTTCTCTGCTGAGAGATTAGTAGATGAATAAGTTTCTGGACTAACGTGAATGATCTGGGGATGGGGGTAGTAGAGAAGGGCAGAATGGAAATGTAAGGGTGAGACAAAAGGTTCAGTGGAACTTGAGGAAATGGGTGCACTTGAACAAAGGGAATGTTAATGGCATTGTGGCTGGTGAGGTTAGAGACATAACAGGAAGCTTGGAGAATTTTGATTGGAATGCTTGGATAGGTTGGATATTGGACAGCTACATGGTACTCCACTGTCCTGCTTTGTATGTCCAAATAGTCTAATTATTGTTTGGTAGAGCATTAATTGTTAGTAGTCCAAGTCTTCAGGTCAGTTCTGGTTATTTCAGTCTAATGTTTGGATTCCACCATTCTGCTGTCTAGTCCTGTAATGATGTTAATGATAAGAGTATGCTAGAAAGTGTATGGTATGGTATGGTAAAAAAAGACACTAGGAAGCGGGGTTTGCGCTCCCCAGGCACTGCAGCTTCTGGCTTATTGTACCTTCCTAGTTCCTTAGTTCAGTGCAATAGACTCAATCCTTCTCCTTAGAAGTATCAGGTCATTAGCTGTCGCTGCTGCAATTTGATTCCCTAAGTTGTTTTTTTTTCGTACGTTAGGTTAAATCTCCAGTGAGCTGTTTCTTCACATACAAAGATGATATGATTAGCTGTTTCCTCCTCCTCATTACGTAATCTGCAAATGGAATCATTGTTGTATATGCCCATGTGTGCAGATGTTTTCTCAGAAACCATGGTAAATAGCTACCCCCTGAGTTTTACCAAGTCTAAACTAAATGCAATGTAGCTCTGTAGATGGTGCCAGTGACCGGTTAGTAGTCCTACCGCTCCTCTGAGTTTGGCCCTCTCCAATTACCATACCATACCATGCTAGGAAGTGAGGGTTTGGCATTCCTCAAACGCTGCAGCCTTATGGCTTATTGCAGTTTTCCAAATTTCTTATTTCAGTTTGATTGACTAAGACGGTCAAGGTCAAGAAGAACCATCAACAAGAATGACCTTATTTTAAGGAGTTGTAAGTAATTAATTGTCATTACTGAAATTTTTTGCCAGGTTAGTATTTAGGTTATGTCTGTATTCAGTGGTTGCTTCGAATTCAAAGATGAAGTTGGTAACAATTTCTTCATCGTTGCATAACCTACAAATGGAATCATCATTGAATATACCCATGTTGTCTAGGTGTTTTTTCAGAAACCATGCTAAATAGCTATCGCTCTCCTGAGTTTTACCCAGTCTGTAAACTAAATGTAAGCTCTGTACTTGCCATTTTTGGTAAGGGTACTTTAATGATGAATTTATTGTGATGATACATTCTGGAGTTTGTCCTTCTCATTTTGGTTTTTGCGGATTGTAAGATGGTGTGGTCTTTTGTTTTTGTTATCTCAGTTATAGTGTTTTGGGCCTATAGTTGGTCGTGCAGATCCTCCTCTGGCTAGTTTGTCTGCTTGTCCATTATCCAGAATTACTTTGTGCCCTGGCAACGATATTGTCAGGTTGTTACGTTTTTCTATGTTTTGGATGCATTCACTGACTATTTTGATATTTTCTTGAGTAGTCCTACTAAGGTATAGTTCACTTGTTTCCTCCCCCTCCCAACATAAAAGTGATTTGGGTGCTTGATTACCTCATTCAAAGTCATTTTCCATTTAATAATATATGATAGTATTGGAAGGGGAGCAACAGTGGCTGAGAGGTTAAGATGTCTGACAAAAATTTCCATGCTAGCAGTTCTGGGGTTGAATCCCGGCAGACCCCATAGCTTTTTAGTAGATAAAAAACGTATTTTAATGTGGTTTGGCCCCTCGTCCACGACACCCAAAGGGTAGTTGGATGTTGAGCCCTCCTGTATGACAACAGCTATTGGAAGTAGACCAGTTGGCCCAGTTTGCCCACTACTGCTAAGTCGTTTCAAAATTATCCAATTGATTCTCTCACAAATTCACACTAATAAATACACACCAAAACAGGTTTTGACCTCAAAATGTATGGGATGATATCTGGCCTAATCTGAATTGATCTTTTGATCATTTAATCCTATCACTGACACTTCAGTAGGGCACTCCTTTGCACTAGTTTATATTTTGCTGTTAATCATCTCACTCACTCGAAAAAAATGGAATTTTGTTTATTTATTTGTTAGTTTTTGTTTTAAATAAGTATAATTATATACAAAATTATGTTTATTTTTCAGAATGATAACGAAAGGATCGTTGACAACAGGAGTCGGCTTTTAGACTCGTTTCAAAAAGAATTAGACAAGCGTCAAATCGGGAAGAGGTAAAAATATTAGATTGAGACTAGAAAATGTCCATAAATGTACAACACAAACACAAAAAAAAAAAAAAAACATAGGCCAAAAAATTTAAAAAACCAGTCGTAGAGAGGTGTAATCAATTTTTAAAAATACTATAAATACCTGTACAGCAAACCTTGTATATATTTCTAGACTACACATAGCTTTCGTCACGAATTATTTCTGTTTTTTCCCCTATCACAGTGTATTCAATCAGATTGAAACTTTTTTTTTATATTAATAAACCTTTCATAAATTTTATTTTTATAGTCGAATAAACAGTTTTGAAATTTGTCAATGTGTTTTTTTAATAAAGGCAAATTTGCGAGTTTATTGATAATTTATTAAAAAGTTGTTCAGTAGTTTACATAAAAAATCAGATAAAAGATTTGTTTGAAAAGACTGTTCAGCAATAATTTTAAAAAAAGCATAATTTTGTGAAAATTAATTACAATTAATTAATTGATCTTAGAGATTATCTAAGATATTATCTAAGATGGTCTTTTTATCTGAGTTGGTTATTGTTCTTGTAAATTGCATATTTTCTTTTTTTTTTAAATCTAGTCTGTAGTAATTGTAACAATCTAGTTTTACAACATTACTATTGTAAAGTCTCAATTATTTTTATTAGTTAATTATAGACAATGTAACTAAAAACAACTGTAAATAAAGAGATTATCAAAAATATATAACACCATCATGTTGTACATATATGCGTAACCCAAATTTATGTGTTTTAATGTGTGATTTATATATATTTTTTTTTTTTTTTTTTTTTTTTTTTAATTTGCACTACACACATTTACAGCTTGTGAATTGTAATATTTTAAATTTTAATTCAAGACAGTAAAAGAACAAGTTGTGCATTCTTGATTTAAAAAAGTTAAAATCGACTAATCAGCTTCAATTATCCAAATAAAACAACCTGATTATTATTACAATTAATTAAGGTTTTTAGTTTAGATAAAAAAGTCAATGGCACGAGCGGGATTAGAACCCACGACCTTCGGCTTGATACGCCACTTACCACTTGAGCTATCATGACTTTGATCCACTCGGACACTAACTTCCCATCTCAACCCCACCTTTTGAAGTTTCCCTCCTTTTTGCCATTTTTTATCTCGACTAAAAACCTTAATTAATTGTAATATATCAATTGGTCAAGCAGACCACGAAATTAGTCAATTTACTGATTATTATATTCTAGTCATAAAAGTAGCATTTTATATTTACACAACATAAAATATAAATTTTCTCATTAATTAGAGAGCAAAGAGAAATTTTGTTTTGTTTATTTGTTAAAATTGAGAATAGGCGAGATAGATTCACCCACTTTAGTTAAAAGTTGGCTTTTAGATATAAAAAACAGTTAAGTGAAAGCTTTAAAACAGATATCATTTGCTTTAAAGGCTATACTGATTATATAACGATTCATTTTAGGAATAAGCACACACTCAACCGAGGGGACACACTTCCGCCGATACAACATTCAGTGTCGCCTGTCCAGGACGGTTACGGATTGGACAGAAACCAACCGAAGCCTAAGCTAAGGAGGGGTAGGTCCGCTGAAAGTGTTTCCAAGCAAACGAAGAATGAAGATGTGCGCCCTTTAGTGAAAGAAGCTTTCCTTCCAAAAATAGAAAACGTTAATGATCTCTTTGGTTCATCTCTCACGACAAATGTACATCAGGAACCATATCACGATCTGCCGCACTCAAACATGTTTGGGAGCATAGTTGCAGCGGAAGAAACTGAAAAGAAGGCTTGAATTTTTTCCTGGCATGGCTGTGAAAAACCTAACTAGCAATAAACGTTAAAAGATTTTTTTTTATTATTTTTTTTTTTTTACAAACAAAGAAAATTTATGTATATACAAAAAGAATTACTTAAATAAATTAATTTATTCTAATCAATAATTAAAACAAAAATTTCTGGAAATAACACAAATCTGTTATATTAAAATTTATTTGTTAAATGACCACATGTTTGGAAATGATTAGCTCTTTAAGAAATATTTGGCCAAATATTATAAATTTTAAAAATTATGCTTGAGGTTCTGGGAATGGTTTCTCTTCGGACTCGGTTTCTTCAAGAGGGATTGCTTGTTGTAACAGAGGAGCTGTGACCGCTTCGAGCCATTCGTTGACTTGAAACAGACCTCGGTGCTTGAGTATAGGCCCCAATATCTCAAGCACTCTGGAATGGTATTGATCTATAAACATGATTTCCGAAGGCGTCAACAATTCGACTAGTACCATTTTTATCTGAATCGGGCACAATGAGACTGTATCGAACTTCAAAAATGTTTTGTCTTGGTGCTTGAACGGAGCTTCGGACGGAACAACTTGTAGTATGTTCATAATCCTTATTCCGAACATGTTGTCCTCTGCTGCGTTGTAGAAGCCTGGACCGTTTGAAATGAACATGTTAACAGCCAAACCGGGATCATCAGGGTAAGGACGCCACGATATGCCCATCGGCCCTTCGTGCATGTTCAAGAAACACCCTAAACCGTGACCCGTGGCATGACCGTAATCGAGCCCTACAGTCCAGAGGTGTTTTCTTGCCAAACAGTCCAAAACATTCCCTTTAACTCTAGGAGGAAAAATGCTCGTGCTCAAATAGATGAGTCCTTTGAGAACCCTTGTGTAGCATTCTCTTTGGAATTCGCTCGGAAAACCAAGATGGATCATCCTTGCAATGCCTGTAGTGCCATCTTGATAATGTGCTCCGGCTTCGAGTAAGTAGACATTACGGTCATTCAAGGGGTTATTTTCATAGATGCTCGGTGTGTAATGAGGCTTACTAGAGCTTTTCCCCATGGCGGATATCGTTTGCAAGCTCGAACCTACATACAACGCTTCTTTCATCTGGAAAAACTCAAGTTTGGTCACAGCATCCATTTCAGTTATTTCCTCCGTTTTCCATTGTGATTCTAGCCAGCAGAAAAATTGACACAATGCAATTCCGTCTTTTATGTGAGCGTTGATCATACCTTCAACTTCCTTCTCGGTTTTTATAGCCTTCATTAATTGAATGGGACTGCACTCACAAAACTGCTTTTCTTCTGGTATCAAGTCATAAACTGCAAACGGTGTGATGCTCGGAATCCAAACTTTATTAACATGTGCTTTTTCTGCAATGACGATCTCTTTAACAAAAGTGTAAAAGTTTTCATAAGGATGTAAGCGGATGCAAATATCCTCCCTTTGAAAATGGTTCCTTATTTTATCGGTGATTTGGTATTCCGAGATGAAAACATGTACGTTTAATTTAATTATGACAGCGAAAGCATAAAATAACGGGTTGTAAGGGACGTCACTTCCTCTCAAGTTCAGAAGCCAGGCAATATCATCTAACGCACAGATGATTAACATATCTACGTTGTTTGATTTCATTTTTTCATAGACCTTCAACAGTTTCTGACTCGCTGCCATGCCCGAATATTCAATTGGGACACGAATCAATTTATTATTCGGAGCGATCGGTTTATCGTATCCCCAAACAAGGTCCACCAAGTTCTTCACTACAGGAATTAATACGATACCCCATTGATTCAGTTCGTCCTTGAAAGAATTCCACATCGGGTAAGGGATCACCTTGGCATCGGCACCAACGTAAGAACCTGGAGGCAATTTAGTCCTCAGCCAATCTGACTCGTTTGGAACGCTCGGCAGACCGGTTCTCATGAGCACCCAGCCAGGAAAAATCTCCCTTTCTGCCAAATGGTAAAACCGTGAATCGGTCCACAAACATGTGTCAGTCTGTGTTATGATCGCCGTCCCTGCAAGACCGGTGAAGCCTGTCAAGTACTTCAACCTCTTAGCGCAATCGGGAAGATATTCGTTAATGTGCTCATCGTGGTATGGTACGACATAGGCCTTAATTGGCACTTCAACAAGATCCAAGTCATCAAAACATTTCCTAAGTTCTGCCAAAGGGTTCTTTACAGGAAATAAGTCTTCCTCTTCCTGTCCGGCATAAGGCTCGTCATCTCCCCCTTCAAAATTTATTTCAGTCATTATATACAATGTGCAATATGAAGAAGACGGTAGTAAACAAAAATTTAGAATCGAGAAATTTAAAATGTGAATAATGCCGAATAAAATTGTTCATATGTATAAATCATCTGCAATTCTTTATTATTTATAGGTTAAATATGTTTGATGTAGAAGAAAGGAAATGTTTTCATAAAATGATAAATACAGGCTTTCTAACATAATTGTGGAAGATGTGCAAACATTGCAACTTGATTTATCTATAAATAAAGAACACATTTAGAAATGTATTAGCTTTTGAAAGACTGTGCATTATCTGGTTTTATTTCTTCTGGTCTTCGGAGTGATGGGCTGTTATCGCTTGTTTTAAATCGCTAATGTTTGCGTCCGGTTTATATCTCATGAAGCAGTCATGTTTTATACCTCTGGTGTATAAAATTTTTTCGAACTTCTTGGACCAGAAAATGATAAAAATCCACTACTGAACTAATTATTTTTTTAATTGAACAAAAAAACATTATATTTACAATGAATTGTCTCTGTAAAGGGGGAACAGAAAAAGTAAAAACAAAAATTACCGCCTGCTCTGAAGAATTTTTCGATCTTGTGTATGTATGTACGCCATGAGTTTCTCTGGTCGTGTTTAAGACAAATGGGCGGACTATTGAAGTGAAAAACAAGAACAGTACCTCTATCGAGTAATTATTTTTTATTGATCAACTGCGTTGTCCCCTACTCTTGATGAAAAAAAAAAAAAAAATTGCTGTGACATCTAGTGAGACTGGCTATTATAATGGGGCTCCCATCGGATATAAGTCCGAATCATCACATTACCGCCATAAAATTTTATTTTTAAAATTAATATTTTCTTTATCGTAGTTTCCCCGAAATTGAATTTTTTAAATGGCCTCGCATAAAAAAAGGAAATATAAAAATTAGCCTTTTACCCTTTTAGTCGAGGTTTAAAGAAAAAATATAAAAGGAAAAAAAAGGTGAAAATGAAGATAAAAATGCACTACTGAACTAATTATTTTTTAAATTAAAAAAAAAAACAAAAAAAAACATTTACAATGAATGGTCTCTGTAAAGGGGAAACAGAAAAAGTAAAAACGAAAATTACTGCCTCCTCTGAAGAATTCTTCGATCTTGTGTATGTATACGCCATGAGTTTCTCTGGTCATGTTTAAGACAACTGGGCAGACTATTGAAGTGGAAAACAAGAACAGTACCTCTATTGAGTACTTTTTTTTTTTCAATTGATCAGCTATGTTGTCCCCTCTCTTGATGCCAAAAAAAAAAATTGTTGTGACATCTAGTGAGACTGCCTCTATTATAATGGCGCTCCCATCGGATATAAGTCCGAATTCACATCACCGTCATAAATTTTATTTTGAGAATTAAAATTTTGTTTATCGTAGTTTCCCTGGTCTGTTAGGTCTTCATTTGTCTTAGAAATGTTTCCTTCTGCCCTGTTAGACAATTCAAGTTTTTCGACCTGGCTAATTAAGAGATCGAGTTCCTGAATTGTCGTTGGAATTTTTTGGAAATGAAAATTATATCTAGTTTTTTGGTTAACTCCATAGACTGTCTAGTCAAGTTCAAAATATTACAACGTTTGTTCGGAGTATGAAAGACTTAAATATGTACCACACTGGTTCTTTTTTAAAATAAACTGTTACAAAATATTAATGACTGACGACCACTGTTTTAACCACTGCGTTAAGTGACCTGAGGAAGGATTAAAATAAATCCGAAACATTGTGGATTGAAAGAAAAACTGGTTGTTTTTTTGAGATGACCTATTATCCCACCTTTGAGAAGGAAACTGTTTTTTATTGATTACTTTTGTACATACTTAACTGAAATCCTGACGGATAATGAAGGGTCTACACGAAATAACATATTTGTAAATAGACAAAATTTATTGAATACATTACAAAATATCTTATAAAATTTATCCATAATGAAAAGTTTGTATTCTAATTTAATAAATGCAATTCATACAAAATTCATGTTTTCTTAATTAATTGTTTAAGTTACAATTACATTATCTTATCCAATAAGTAAAACTCACAATTTATTAATATTATCAAAAGAAAGTATAATTAAGTCAAGTAAGTTGAATTAAGTTTAAGCAGTTTCAAATAAAATCAATTGAATCAAACCTCTAAAGGTCGGTGTCGTACCAAGCAGCCACTTGGTTATTGTCTTGAGGAGGTTGTGGAAGTTCGCCCAAATTGTCAAAATCTAGAACAGCGGGACCTACATCCATAGGCCCATAGTTTGAATCATGTTGGGACCCAAGATCCAACCCCTGCATTGAATCAACCGGAATCTGATCATACCCTGCAAATAACATGTGGTGACTTAATAATCGGGTAATGCCTTTTTCTTAATCTCCACTCAAATATATATCAAAATAATCGATCAGATGGAGCAACACTGTACATGCTCTGGTACACAATAATCTTCAAACGATGTTTTTATATAATAATTTTATTAATTCTACAAGATTAAGCGTACCAAATTTTAAAAAAGAAAACCAACAAAGGAAAGAAGCTGTAAAATTTAGCACACTACATTCCATTTTAATGAAATATTACAGACCAATGCTACGTTTAATCACCCGGAGTCATTATTTCAATGACACACACTTTTCTTGAAAAAGAATGGTTATAGGGGAGAAAAAAACAACTAATTTTTACCAAGGATAAAAAAAACTTTGTGAAGATTTATTACAATTCACTAATTTCGTGGTCCGCTTGACCAATTAATATATTACAATTAATTAATGTTTTTAGTTGAGATAAAACAGTCAATGGCACGAGCGGGATTTGAACTCACGATCATCGGCTTGATACACCACTGCTCTACCACTTGAGCTGAAAAATGGCAAAAAGGAGGGAAAATTCAAAAGGTGGGGTTGAGATGGGAAGTTGGTGGTGGATCGAGGTCACAATAGCTCAAGTGGTTGAGCAGCAGCGTATCAAGCCGAAGATCGTGGGTTCGAATCCCGCTCGTGCCATTGTCTTTTTTACCTCAAATAAAAACCTTAATTGTTATATATTAATTGGCCAAGCGGACAACAAAATTAGTGAATTTAATGATTTAAAATGAAGTATACTTCACTAAAGCTCTCCGTGGCCATTTCATTTGTCATCGAGAATCCAATCCGATTACACGCCATTTGAAAAATGGCAAAAAGGAGAGAAAACTCAAAAGGTGGGGTTGAGATGGGAAGTTGGTGTCCGAGTGGATCAAGGTCACGATAGCTCAAGTGGTAGAGCAGCGGCGTATCTCAACTAAAAACCTTAATTAATTAAAAATAACTTTGAAGGTGCGTCCATTGAAATAGATCCCATAAATTCTGAGTCAACGGTACAACAACGAAGGCAGTTTGCAATGGATTTTGAAATATGGGTCGCGCAAAATTAATTTTTATAGATGAATCAGGATTTAATCTACATTTGCGGCGGACACGTGCACGTTCAAGGGTTAACACGAGAGTTGTTGTCACCATACCAACAATTCGTGGTCGTAACGCAACTCTTGTTCTTGCTATAAATAATCAGCAGGTAGTACATTATTCTGTAATTAGTAGTGCGAACTGTCACAGTAATTTATTTTGCGATTTCCTACATGATCTTTGCGAGAAACTTAATGCAATGGAGTTGAACAACTCTATTCTGATAATAGATAATGCAGCCATTCACAGAACGCAAGATGTATGCAATGTTGTAGAATCGTTTTCTCACACCAAGTACTTGCCTCCATATTCCCCAATGTTAAACCCAGCTGAATATGCTTTTTCTAAAATAAAGGCATCAGCCAGGAGGGTTTTAGGTGGGACAGCTGCAGAACACGACATTGCAGAAGTGATTAGTTGCAGTGTCGACACCATCAATTCTACAGATTGCTCCAATTTTGTCGTCGATGTGATACTGAAATTACCATCAGCGGTTGCTGGATGTCCCTGTATTGATTTTGAAATAAAATGTTCATTTTGTTAATTTTTTTATTTTCAATAATAAATTTTGTTTCTTGAGAGTATGATGTTTGATATCCCCCTTTACCCCACCACATTTGAAAAGTATTAAATTTCTCGGGAAAAGTATTAATTTGCTTGGAAAGGGTGCTAAGTTGATTGGGAAAAGTATTAAATAACTTGGGAAAAATTCTAATTTAGTTAAATTGGTAGAAAAAAATACCTATTTGACTGAAAAAAGTTATAAATTATATTTGCAGAGCCTCCCTCCAGACCCGTCTGTCTACTTCACCTTCTTCTCACACTTGTGTTGTTCCTGTCTTTTTGGCGCTCCTCAGGCTTCACTCAAGGTTGCCAGCCTCAAACTGGACATGGGTCTGGGTTGTGGGGCCCATTTTATATACGTATTCTTTCTTATACAAATAATAATCATTAAAACTATATGCAAAACGCAATTGCATGCACAATTCTCCATCTGCACATATTAACCAATACATAAATGGATGGTGACTCGTGCAATTTTGTGTATACACATTAAGTAAACGGAATGATGTGGGGGGGGGGTTTGTGCTCCCAAGGCACTGTAGCTTCTGTCTTGTACCTTTTCCCTATTTCAGTGCAGACTCGATCCTTCTCAAGTGAACGTAATCAAAGTAAAAGATATAAGCAAACTGCCTAAATTTATTGGGTTGTCCGGAAAATAATGCAGGATTTTAAGTTTTCATTAAAAAAAATCTATATAAAATATTCTGTTTACGTTTACAGGATTACTCATTTGTATGAATGTCAACACTTATTAATCCTCTTCCAAATGATATTGTTTGTTTACCTCTGTAGCATTCCGCTACTTGGAAATAATTCAGTCATCCTTATAATGTCAAAGCGAGAATTTCGTACGATTTTCTTTTACGAGTTTAAACTCGGCCGAAGCGGAGCCCAAACGGCTAGAAACATTAACCAAGTCTGGGGCGAGGGTTGTGTTAATGAGTGCACTGTGCAAAGGTGGTTTAAAAAATTTCGGGAGGGAGATTTCAGCCTTGAAGATGAAGAAGGTCGTGGAAGGCCTTCCTCTCTTAATGATGATGTTCTGCGATCAGTGGTGGAAGAAAACCCCAAAACAACTGTTCGAGAACTTGCAGAGCAACTCAAAGTCAGTAAAACGACCGTCGCTGACCACCTCAAGGCGATTGGAAAAGTGAAAAAACTCGAAAATTGGGTTCCACACTCATTAAACGATCGCCAAAAAAATCAGCGCTTTGATGTTTGTGCATCACTTCTTTGTCGAAACAAAAATGACCCATTTCTGGCCAGAATTGTTACATGTGACGAAAAGTGGATTCTGGACAGTGGCTCGACAAAGGAGAAGCTCCAATACATTTTCCAAAGCCCCCAACTCATCAAAAAAAGGTAATGGTTACGGTATGGTGGGCTTCATTTGGTTTAATACACTACAGCTTCTTAAATCCTGGCGAAACCATCAATGCTGAATCATACTGTAACCAAATTAATACCATGCATCAGAAATTGGCAGTAATGAAGCCCTCTTTGGTCAATCGGAAAGGGCCCATTTTGTTGCATGACAACGCTCGACCACATGTGTCACGTGTAACGTCACAAAAATTATTGGAGCTTGGCTATGAAACTTTGCCTCACCCACCCTACTCTCCGGACCTCTCGCCTACTGACTACCATTTTTTTAGACACCTGGACCACTACTTACAACACATAATATTCAAAAATCAAACGGAACTGGAAAATGCATTTATTGACTTTATCAATTCTAAAAATTCTGAATTCTACTCAGACGGAATTAATAAGTTACCAACACGTTGGGAGAAATGTATTGAGAGTATGGGAAATTATTTTGATTAAAGAACATTGCTTTAAAGTAACTAGTTTCTTTTTTTTTGTTTAATACCAAAATCCTGCATTATTTTCCGGACAACCCAATACAACTAGCCTGGTTTTTTCCAATCATTTCAGTGAATCATTCCCAAAAGTAATTTTTTTAAACGCTACTAATATAACAAAAAATTATTCAGAAATCGTGAGATGCAGTCTGGTTTGATGTAGGTTTCTGAAAAACATTTTCTTAATCGTGCCAACATTTCGATCTTTATTGAGATCAACTTCAGGGACTGGGATTTACAAACATTGTTTACATTTAACAAATACATTTAGGATGTGGAAAAGTGAATTTATACAATGCAAAAAATATTTTTTATATTCAATCAAAGTATTTCTACTCACTCAAAGTATTTGTTTTCTGCGTAATTGTGCCATTCTTGCGTGTCGTGTTGAGAGTGCCAGTGAGATTTTGCTGTTTTATGTTATATGTTGGATTTTGAAGGGGTGGGGAAGGAAGTTGGTATAGAAAAGGCATTTATTTTTGTATAAGGCATCGGCTTCTTTGAGGTGAAATGTGTTGGTAATGGTTCGGCCAGATTATCCTTTCAGGATTATATAGAAAGGGATGAACAGGAAAACGAAAACTAAATTGTTGGACAATTAGACTATGAAAAATATTTGATGTGTGGAATGTAATGTAATGATATATGTGTGTTATCTATTACAATTAATTAAGGTTTTTAGTTGAGATAAAAAAGTCAATGGCAAGAGCGGGATTCGAACCCACGATCTTTAGCTAGATACGCCGCTGCTCTACCACTTGAGCTATCGTGACCTCGATCCACTCGGACACTAACTTCCCATCTCAACCCCACCTTTTGAGTTTGAGTTGAAAAATGGCAAAAAGGAGGGAAAATTCAAAAGGTGGGGTTGAGATGGGCAGTTAGTGTCCAAGTGGATTGAGGTCACAATAGCTCAAGTGGTAGGGCAGCAGCGTATCTAGCCGAAGATCGTGGGTTCGAATCCCGCTCGTGCCATTGACTTTTTTATCTCAACTAAAAACCTTAATTAATTGTAATATATTAATTGGTCAAGCGGACCACGAAATTAGTGAATTTAATATGTTATCTATATTGTATTTGAAATCATTACATTATATTCAACACATCAAATATTTTTCATAGCCTAATTGTCCAACAATTTAGCTTTCCTTTTCCTATTTATACCTTTCTATATAATCCTGAAAGGATAATCTGGCCGAACCATTACCAACACATTGTTTCCCTTCGTTGGCTCTTTTCACCTCAAAGAAGCCGACGCCTTATACAAAAATGTCTTTTTTCTATACCGACTTATATATGGGAAGGCCCCACCCCTTCAAAATCCAACGTGTATAAACATAAAACAGCAAAATCTCACTGGCACTCTCAACACAACACGCAAGAATGGCACAATTACGCAGAAAACAAATACTTTGAGTGAGTAGAAATACTTTGATTGAATATAAAAAATATCTTTTGCATTGTATAAATTCACTTTTCCACATCCTAAATGTATTTGTAAAATGTAAACAATGTTTGTAAATCCCAGGCCCTGAAGATGATCTCAATAAAGATCGAAACGTTGGCAAGATAAAGAAAATGTTTTTCTGAAACCTACATCACACCAGACCGCATCTCACGATTTCTGAATAATTATCGATTAACGGTCGCTAATCACCACACATAACAAAAAATTGTGGTTTGTATGACATCATGCTTAAACCATGCATAGAATCAAATGACTTTAATACAATTAGTGCTCTCTGAAAAATGTTACCTGTTGTATGGAGTTCAGCAAGAATCAGACGACTTGAAACATTAAACAGGTCATGCTAAATGTTTGCATTAAAAAGAAGCATTTTTTTTTAAAATAATATCTGTGATATAAGAATAAAATTGTTAAAGGAGAATTTATTTTTGAAATAGACCATCTTTTATGTTACATGCTGTTAATAAAATTAAGAGTTTAACACACTTTATAAAGAGTGTCTGAAGTTCTTTACTTTCAAGTTAATGTTTGGCTACATGCACACTTTTTTTAATAAAAAATAATTGTTTGTCCAAATATTCTTTTTTTGACAATTTTGTTTTATGTTAATTACTCCTTTAATGATTAATTAAACTAGACTGAGTTTTAATTACCTTGTTGGTAGGCTCTTCCACCATGACTGCTATGTACACTAGGAGGGCCATGGGTGTACATACCATCATAGCTTTGTTCAGCTAGCATATCCTGGATGGGGGAAAAAATAAATTGAAAGTTGAATTTAAATTTTGTTTGCGTTTGGGTTATATTTTTAGCTCACCTGTAAATCTGGAGGCATATTCAAATCCCCATTCCACAAATTTGGATCCTCTCTGAACAGAGAGTTGGTCAGCTCCATTGATAATCTCTTCTTATAATCTTGCGGCTTGTCTTCAGACATGCGGAATAGAACTGCTGCTGCATATGTAGCTAAAAATATGCATTGTAAACCAGGTTTGATATTTAACAATTTTTGAAACTTACCAACACCTTCATTACGAGAATGAAGGAGTTCTGTCAGTGGAGCAGTAGCACCTTCTTGCTCTATGAGCTCAGCACCTTCCTTGTCTTGTGCCAGCTCACAAAGCACACCCGCAGCGACTCTTTGAATATTCTCAATTTCATTGAACAAAAGTTGCACAAAAATTGGAATAACGTGCTGACCTCTGATGATTGTTCTGTTATGACTTTCTCTTGCGAGAATGTGCAGAGCTCCTACCGTCCCTTCCACTATTTCTTCCATTCTAACTCCATCTGCATAAATGGCGGGGGTTTGATTGCCACTGCTTGAGACACTCGATCTCTATAAATTCCATTTTAACGATTAAATTAAATTAAAAGCTTCAAATATTTTCATATCCTACCCTCTGGGTGTCATGGAATGCCCGCATGAGGAGTCGGACAAGATGGTGAATTGCTCCGTATTCTCTTAACGGACTGTGATTGGCAGAGCAGAGAGCTAGGTTACGAATTAAACCAATGACTGCCTTGACAAGAGGCCAACGGGACGGGGGTTCAAGCAATTTCACAATAACCTGTAGCCCGTAGTTCATTCTCACTGAATTCTGTGCCATTTCACTTTCAATATGTCTTGAAGTTAAATGCCGCAAAGCGCACACCTTAAAAATAAAAAAATGAATTGAATTTACACTAAAAAATTTCAAAAAATGTTGTAAAAAATTAACCGACTTACTGCTGGCTCAGTTATTTCCTCTCTATCTCCTGCTGAGACAATGGTCCTTACTAAAGCATCAACACCACCTACTTGACAAACCAGCACTTTATTTCTCTGGTTGTTACACGTCAAGTTGGAGAGGATTCCAGCAGCACATGTCACAACATTGACATCAGAAGAGCCAAGGAGTTGTACAAGAGATGACAATAGGCCGTCTAAACCTTCAACCTTTGTCCCAGCATCCGAGAGATTTCTAAGTGTCCATAAGCAGTTCTGTACAAGTCTTTGAGAAGAATGGCCTAGGTTCATAGCCAATGCCTGCATACCACCAGCCTCAACTATAGCTGGCTTATTACTAGAGCAAACCGACAGTACTGAAAATGAGAACAATTACCCATGTATTCTTAAATCACACATTCTACTCTTGTTTTATACCCATTTATAATTATAAATCTTTTAACTTATTTACATACATATACTGTATAAAAACTGATTTTGTTTCAGAAACACCACTATTTTTTTATTTAGTTATTAGGTAACTTCAATTTTTAATAATAACTCATTAATAATTATTTAATCTCTCCAATTTTTACTTGAGTGATGTAAAATAAAAATTAATAGAAAATACACTGAAAGACAAAAACTATAATAACATTTGTTGTTTATTTATTTTTATGTTTTTTTTAATCTCTATATTGATTATATCATACTTATTTTAATTAATTAAAGTTTTAAGTTGAGATAAAAAAGTTAGTATCACGAGTGGGATTCGAACCCACGACCTTCGGCTTGATACACCGCTACTCTACCACTTGAGCTATCGTGACTTCAAGCTCAAGTCACGGTAGCTCAATTGGTAGAGTAGCGGTGTATCAAGCTGAAGGTCGTGGGTTCAAATCCCGCTCGTGACACTGACTTTTTTATCTCAACTTAAAACCGTAATTAATTGAATGTTATTATGTTATAATGTTATTAATTGATCAAGTGGACCACGAAAAATAGTGAACTTATTTTAATGTAAACCAAATTAAATGAAATGAGTAATTCATGAGGTTTAATAAAAAAATATTTAATTATGATGGTTTCAAAGAAATTCACACTGATCATAATCCTTTGACCTATGCATGTATCAATGATTGGACAATGTCTCTTCAACATCCTAGCCTTCATTTCTGAATTTTCTACGGACATTAGACACATCCGTGCAAAACAAAATTTCATAGCCAATGCATTTTCGAGTTTGATGAAGTTAGATTTTCCATCCAACATCAGTTACAACAGACTTGCAGTTGATCCATCAGATGAGGGCGTCCAACAATGTTTAAGGTGGCCATTCACGATCGCTCCAAATGGAACCGCTCCAAGCTGTATAGTTCCATTTGGAGTGACTTAAATTTGAGGGGCATTTACGACCGCTCCACGGCCAGTCGCTCCAAACGTCATCTAGTGAATTACCTTCTCAAAATGGATGACGATCTCTTGTGCTACGCTGTTTGTTTATATATTAAAAGCAAAAACCGAAGAGGGAATGGTGTAAGAAGTGGCTCCTGAACTGAAGCCGTAATATCCACATCAATTTGATGAAAGATCTTTCCCTTGAACCCGCTGGTTGGAGGAACTATTTAAGGATGGATGAAACGTCTTATTTATTCATCATATTTAGTGTTCTATTGACCAAATTACTTCTTTCAATTAATTAATCTTTTTTTGTAAGGTTTTGGTTGAAGTGAAAAAGCTAGTGCCACGAGCGGGATTTGAATCCATGACCTTCGGATAAATACGCCGCTGCTCTACCACTTGAGCTATTGTGTCCTCAATCCTCTCGGACACCAAAAAATGGCAGAAAGAGGAAAAATTCGAAAGGTTGAGATGGGGAGTTGGTGTCCGAGTGGATCGAGCTATCGAATTCACGTGGTTAGAGGAGCAGCATATTTAGCCGAACGTCGTGGATTCGAATCCCCTCGTGACAGTATTTTTTCATTTCAACCAAAACCTTACAAAAAAAAAATCTTATTTATATTTACTCCAGCTTGTTACCCCCGTAATTAGAAAACAAAAGACAGTCATGAGAGAAATCATCACTCTACATGAAAGGTTGAAAACCACATTACGATTTCTCGCTACAGGGATGAACTACGAAGAACTTAAGTTCTCTACTACGATTTCTGCTCAGCACTTAGGGTTTATCAATACCGCATCTCTAGTTGCATTTGTATCCTTTGTTTTGAAAACGTCGATCAACTGGTTGAGGACCGAATTTCTTTTATTTCTATTGTGGTAATCATTGTCCACCACTTTCCATAAACATGGTAAACTTTCATACAATTCAATCACCACAACAATAAAATCTCGTTCTCTATTTTTCGTGGTCCGCTTGACCAATTAATAACATTCAATTAATTAAGGTTTTTAAGTTGAGATAAAGAGTCAGTGTCACAAGCAGGATTGAAAAATGGCAAAAAGGAGGGAAAATTCAAAAGGTGGGGTTGAGATGGGAAGTTGGTGTCCGAGTGGATCGAAGTCACGATAGCTCAAGTGGTAGAGTAGCGGCGTATCTAGCCGAAGGTCGTGGGTTCGAATCCCGCTCGTGACACTGACTTTTTATCTCAACTTAAAAATCTTAATTAATTGAATAAAATCTCGATTGGATGTCATTGCCAATAAAGAATAAACGTTTTTGACTTTTTGAGAATGTACGACGGAGATATTCGCTCAGTGACAGAAAGATGGAGACTGCGCCGAAAAAAAACTCGGGTTTTCCCATTCACGACCAAGCCAGCGCTCCAATATTCCACTGTTCACGCCAGGTTTTCCCATTCACGAACGTGCCATGCCGTCATCGCGCCCTAGATATTTGGAGTGGCGCAATGGAGTTTAGATCAGTCGAATATTCGGCACATCCTGGAACACCAGTTGTTTTGCCATTGACGTGGTTTTTAAATGGCTTCGCTCCGTTTGGACTGCTAGGAGCGATCATGAATGGCCACCTTTACACGACCCTTCATTGAAGTTACGACAATACACAAAATAAACAATACACCTGAAATCTACTGCGAATTTTCTTCCCCCATGTCCAAACCGTATGTTCCATCTTGAATGTGACATGTGGTTTTTCACATTCTTCTTTTCACTTGTTATCATATCCAGGCATTCGCTCATCTCCAAAATGAGTGTCGGATCGTTTCTTCTTGCCAGATATGTGAAGAAACATGCATATTTGGTTCGTTCAGAGCATCAGCTGCCAAATGTTTCAAGGTCGGCACACTAAGGCACCATTAACACCTTTTGCTCATAGACTGCTATACACATGGTTCACTTATCAAAGGTAAAGGAAGCGGTGCTGGAATCCATATACCTAAATTAGGTATCAGCATCTCCTCCCCTCTTGGCAGAAATCTCCGTTTTTTTCAGGCAGAAATCTGGGCTATTATTGTGTGTTGTAGAACACTTATGGAAAATAAAATCAAGGGAAAAGATAATAGAATTTTTTCCGACAGTCAGGCCAGCCTTAGGTCATTACAAAAAGATTTATCAACATCTTGACTGGTGAAGGAAACTGTTGATCTTATCAATAGGATCTATTCCAGGTTTGAGAACAAGGTAACCCTTACTTGGATACCAGCACATAAAGGTCACTATGGCAATGAAGAGGCGGATAGCTTGGCCAAAGAAGGCTCAAATACTGCGTTTGTCAGGCCACAACTGGTATTACCTCATTCTATGAGCACAGCGAAAGAGAGTATCAAAAACTGGGGTTTGAAACAATTCCTTAGGGAATGGAATCTGTCCCCCAGACACAGGCAATCGAAAGAGTTTGTTAAGGAAATCAAACCAGTAGAATCAAAATGGCTATTCTCTAACCCAAGAAAGGGAATTAGGAGGCTGATAGGTATCCTGACGGGCCACTGCCCACTGAGCAGACACCTCTCCGTAATGGATATTGTACCAGATCCCTTTTGCCGTTTTTGCGAAATAAAAGAAGAAACGGCAAGGCACTACCTCACCGAGTGTGATAGGTATGTTAGGTCTAGGTTTGAAATCTTTGAAGGAGAGAACATCACCAAATCACTGCCCGAGATTAAATGGTCCAAAATCTTGGGGTTTGTGAACAGGTCCAAGAGATTTAAGCAGGGCACGTGAGCCGACCAAGTCCTGGACCTTTTAGGGATGGGGACGAGTCGACCCAGGCATTTAAACCCTCGGGTCTTGGTCGTCCACCCTGCATAATATATAACACATTTTGCTGAGCCAATTCACAGGTTGAGCCACACTGACGTTGATTTTCAATAGGTGAACAACGGTTGAGTGGTCAACTCTCAGCTCTTCCGCCATTTCCCATGTTGTCTTGTGTGAATTTTCTTCAATCAACATTTTGAGTTGGTCGTCTACCGACCTTCCCTGTTTTCAAGATCAAAATCTCTGAAACCATCGCTGCACCGTGCTTTCGCTAATGTTTCCTGCCCCCAAACCGTTTGGGCCACACTACGCCCAAGTTTAAATTATTACAAATAAATTTGACAAAAATCTAGTTTGGACTTATTTAATTTTGCAGGTCCTCACTCTTATGAAATTCAATATAAATTAAAAATTTGTCTCAAAGATTACAGATAAAAGTATTTATTATAATCCATAATTTAGATTCGAGGATTTAGCTTTGTTTACATGGCAAGCACCTGCGAAAATAAAATAAACCCAATATATTTATATTTTTATTTATAAATATTTTAATGTTTTTGTACTCATGTGCGTATTATATATTTTTTTGTAAGTATATTCCCAGTTACTATAAATTACTTGTATTTTTTTAATAAAGATAATAATCTGTATGATGATGTCTCAGCAAACATTATACAATGTGCAAAAATTATAATGTGCTTGTTTATTTATTAAGGTAAAAAGTGAAATGTTTAACTTAAATTTGAAAAAGTGAAAAGTTTGGCTGTGCTCAACTTCAGGAGAAATCAGATTTAAATATTTTAACAAATTAAACTAACGGAAGTTAATATCTTATTTAAATGGTCTAAATTGGTAGACATTGTTTCAATTGCTAACACATTTAAATCGGTAAACTTGTAAATCCCTGAAGTAACACATAAAACAATTAAATCATGAATAAAAAAAAGCACCTTTTAAAACTCGGGAAGTAGTCCAGAGTAACTTCTCGTAATCATAACTTCTCATAATCCTCACTAGCTCAAGTGGTCCCTGAGAAGCTAGAATTATCAATTTGCTCTCTTGATTTCCGTAGGCAAGGATTTGGAGACAGTCGGTAACAATGGCAAGAAACTTAACATTGTTCCTTTGCAGCAATGCAACCATCTTCTGCAACCCTCCAGCAAGTCTTACATCCATTTTACTTCCTTCCTGATGAAGAAGGAGATTGTGGAGAGTTGTGATTGCATAGAACAATACTGCTTCTAGTGGAGAACTGGAAAAAAAAAACATTGTTTAGTTTATAAATAAACAAATTCACTAGTTTTCGTGGTCCTCTTGACCAATTAATATCGTTCAATTAATTAAGGTTTTTAGTTGAGATAAAGAAGTCAGTGTCACGAGCGGGATTCGAACCCACGATCAATTTTGCCATTTTTGAAAAATGGCAAAAAGGAGGGAAAATTCAAAGGTGGGGTTGAGATGGGAAGTTGGTGTCCGAGTGGATCGAAGTCAAGACAGCTCAAGTGGTAGAGTAACGGCGTATATAGCCGAAGGTCGTGGGTTCGAATACCGCTCGTGAAACTGACTTTTTTTATCTCAACTAAAAACCTTAAATAATTTATAAACAAAGTTCAGAATTTGTCTACAGACAAATAGAGAATAAATTACTTGTTCTGCAACTCCCTACAGACAAAAGTGTCAAGCCTATGGTCTAAGACGTAAGACATATTGCGCAAAATTTCACAAAACAGTTTTTTACTTTTACTACATTTGTGTTTTTGGTCACATTCTTACCTATGATGTTTTCTTATATTTCGACCTCAACAGTTTAACTTATGATTTTTCCTTCTTGAAGGTGGGATAATAGGTCATCTCAAAAAAACCACAACCAGTTTTTATCNTTTATCTAAAATTTTCTAGCATTGTATACTCATTTTTTATCTAAAATTTTCTATCATTGTATAATTTTTTTTAATCTAAAATTTTCTAGCATTGTATAAACTCATTTCTTTTATCTAAAATTTTCTAGCATTGTATAAATTCTTTTTTTTTTATCTAAAATTTTCTAGCATTGTATAAATTCATTTTTTTTCATCTAAAATTTTCTAGCAATGAATAAATTCATTTCTTTTTAATCTAAAAATTTCTAGCACTGTATAAATTAATTTTTCTCACATACTACAAGCATTTGTAAAATTTTAACAATGTTTGCAAATCCCAGGCCCTGAAGATGATCTCAATAAAGATTGAAACGTTGCCACGACAAAAATTTTTTTTTTCTAAAACCGACATCACACCAGACCGCATCTCACGATTTCTGAATAATTATCTATTAACTGTCACTAATCACCACACATTAGCTTTATTAGCGATACTGCACTGCTTTTCTGCAGATATCATTGTCAGCACTCTCTCAAACTCCTTCAACTATTTGTTAGTAGATGTAAAACTATTCCTTGCCTCCCCTCAAAGAGTGTAAATCTTGTAAACTTGAAAAATAAAGTTTTTAAAAAGGAATCGTCAAATCAAATTTACTTATTTGAAGATAGTCTTATTTTTCTTTTAAAAAATTTAATGTAATCAATTTTTGTCATTATAGTACTGCAACATTGTATTATGTAAAAAGGGTTTGCTCTCCTTTTAAATAATTAAATAAAACGTCTCGAAAAAGCACGTTTATACAAATAAACGAAGAACAGATATGCAGCTTAGTCTTTTTATATGTATTTAATATTTTCAAAATGTAAACTGAGGCAAAAGAGTGAAATAAGAGCTGTGAAACCACTTACACCTTTTATCTGGTTTTATGTTATATGTTTAAGTTATGTTAAGTTTTTTATGTTGTTTTATGCTATATAGTTGAGAGATTATAGAGAATTGCTTTTAGTGTCAGTAAATCATTCGATATGCTTTTGTTTTGTTTTTCCGAAATGTGTGGTGATTAGTGACCGTTAGTCGAGGATTATTCAGAAATCGTGAGATGCTGTCTGGTGTGACATAGTTTTTAGAAAAACATTTTCTTGTCGTGCCAACGTTTCGATCTTTATTGAGATCATCTTCAGGGCCTGGGATTTACAAACATTGTTTGAATTTAACAAATACATGTAAGATGTGGAAAAAATTTATGAATTTATACAATGTAGAAAATTTTATATCCAATCAAATTATTTGTACACACTCAAAGCGTTTGTTTTCCATGTAGATGTGTCATTCGTCTGTCCGCACTCAACACGACAAGACAAATAGTATAAATTCATATTTTTTCTTTTTTTTATTTATATAAAATTTTCAAGCATTGTATAAATTCATTTTTTTTTTATCTAAAATTTTCTAGCATTGTATGAATTCATTTTTTTTCACATCCTTCTCATATTTGTAAAATTTAAACAATGTTTATAAATCCCAGGCCCTGAAGATGATCTCAATAAAAATCGAAACGGCACGATAAAGAAAATGTTTTTCTAAAACTTACGTCACACCAGACCGCACCTCACTATTTCCAAATAATTATTAACTAACTGTCACTAAACACCTCACTTATTTGGATATCGTGAGATACGATCTAGTGTGACGTAGGTTTTAGAAAAACATTTTCTTTATCATGCCAACGTTTAGATTTTTATTGAGATCATCTTCAGGGCTCAAAGTGTTTGTTTTCTGTGTAATTGTGCCATTCTTGAGTGTCGTGTTTTTTTATGTTAGTTTTGTTCTGCGTGTAATATTTTGGATTGTTGAAGTTGAAATTGTGTTTGTGTTCAAAATGGTGGGTAGCAAGTGCTGTAAGATTTTGCTTGGGTTTTTGCAATCATAGATGTCTCTCTTGTCCAGATATTGGGATGTAAGACCAATGTAAGTTGCCGGACAGTTTAAACAGTTGATTTTATAGATTACGTCAGATTTATTTGTTAATGGTGTCGGATCTTATCTCTATTTTGGAAAAAAGTGTTTGAATTGTTTTATAATTTTTGAAAGCTATTTTGAATTAATCGGACGAGAGAAATGCGTTCAATTTATTTGATAGGCATGGAAATGTATGTTGGTTTGTCTGTATTTGATAGATTTGATGTAGTATTATTAGTAATAGTGGATGGTGTTAGTGTTGAGTTGTAGTTGTTGATTATTCTGTTTTTTTTTTTTTTTTTTTTTTTTTTTTTTTTTTTTTAACGAGGGTTCGCAACAACAGAGGTTATATCAACCCTCGGGGTGCCGATGCTTTAAAAAAAAAGCCCATTTGTAAGTATGTCGGGTTGGAATGCAGGGCCGCTGGAATCAAACCCGGGACCTTCACTTTACAGTGATGAGCGCCGTGTCAACACCTAAACCGTCAACCCCCCAAGGTGATTTTATTGTTTCCTCCAATGTCTGACGGTGACATTAGCAATCCTATCAAGGTCTGAATTTTATTAGGATGAAGTAGTAGCCTTCAGTGCATCTGGCTGTCCAAGTTTCTACCTTTGAAATGAGATTATCATTTTCTCATATTTATCTTTACTGACTTTTTTATACTCTTTCCTGGTGATATTTCTTACAGTTTCAAAGGTTGCGGTGTTTGTTTTCTAAAGGTCTTGCATCAAGACATGCATCTCATTTCATTTCATTTTTCACTAAACCACTTTATTGATACAATTTTCTATCTGTATGAAATGTGTTAGCAACCGGTGGTTCAATAAATGGTTCAAGTAGTCTGGCCACTCCTCTCAACTCCAACCATTTATTCTATCTGTAGTTCTTTTAACTGGTAAATGTAGATTTGTATAATAAACTATAGCATCTATTAGTTACTATAGTTCTTCTATCCATTATATCGATATCTTTATTCATAATGATATTCCAGTTCAGGATAGCAAGACCTCTTTCTGTTATGTTCTATGTGTTCTAGGAACGTTCTCTTTTAGTAACAAGTTAAGTTTTGGAAGAAAGTTTTGGACATATCTTGTGTCTTGTATACTAACTTTACTTCTATAAAATTTATAAAGATGTCAACACACCTACTGGCTGTTGGCTCATTTACAATAAAAACAAAACCATTCAGTTTCATTCAATAATACAAGGGCTGACACAATTTTATTTTTTTATTTTAGTTACTGTAGAGGTTTCTTCTATGTTACCTTGTTACCCTTTTTTTATACACACAAAAAAGGCTAACATAGTCGGAGTTTTGTTGTTGGGAATGGAGCTGAGGTGACAGTAAGGCCTCGAGGAAAAGGAGTCGAGAGGAGGAGAGAAGAGAGACGAGTTTGGTCAGGTCGGCATAACAGACAGAATCAAGCTCGCTGGAGATTTTTCCTCGGGAAAAGAAAAGGAAGGAAAGGACGAAAATACGTCATCCACACGCTAAGTGTTTGTGTGGTGGTGGTCAGGCCTGACTTGAAATCCTCGGGCTTCAACATAGACAAATATCGGTGTAGGAATAAAGAAACTGTTATCACTCCGAGCTAATTAAACTATTTTATAAGAGGTACCTTTTCTTTTGATTTTTAATAATTTCTTTTTGCTTATAAGTGAGGACATTAGTATTAAGTTAATTTCTTTTAGTTTATCGTTCTGTTCTCTGTAGGAATAAAGAGAAAAAAAGTTTTTTGTTTTGTTTTTAAATAAATTGTATGAAGGGATCTGTTAATTGTCTATTTTACCTTTATTATTGGTGCTATGTGTTTTGAATAAGATTAAGGATTCATGCTACTTCAAGACCAACGGAAGGAAAAGCGGCTAGCAGTCCTCGGTAGCAGTGTGGATAGAGGTGCTGTCTCTCAATTGTGGGCCCATGGATCTAATTGAACCTACGGCCAATATTTTTTCCCCTTTCTCCTCTTTCTCTCTTCTTTTTCCTTTCTTTGTTTAAATTTAGTTCACGCACTCTTTCTTCCCCCGTTTCTTTGTCTATATTTTTTCATATATATTATTCCCCTTTCCTCCCTCAAACAAATTCCTACCCATCCAAACCGCATTATATTATTATTATTTTTGTCGCTTCCTCATTTCTTTCCCTTGGAAAACAAAAGGTAGACGACTGGCGTCCATCATTTTATTCCTTTCGTTTACATTTTTTCCTTATCCATTAACCCACCCCCTTCACCACTGACCGGCTGGGCACCTAGGTGAGGTTTCGACCGTAACAGCCTTATTTCTCACATCGATTTTAGACGTCAAATGCTTTGTTTTTCGTCAATTGATTTGTTTCTTTTATTTCATTTTCAATTTTTATTTTTCCCTAAGATTTTCTCTTTAGCATTTTACTTTTTTTTAAAGTTTTTTACTTATTCATTGAATTGTTTTTGAACTTCTTTTTTTCTCAGCAATCAAGTTGTTTGTCGACCAAATTCACCAGAATTCGGCGACTGTCATGATTTTATGTTGATGATCATTTTTACTAGTTGAATTCCTTGTCTATGTTATTTTCACTGGAGGACTCATTCAAGAGTTGAGCAAGATCAAGAGTGAAGTCCTTTTGGATTAACCTCCTTGTCATCTGCAGCACACGAACTTATTTACTATCTCAATGCAACTGAAGTGGTACTATTTTCTATATTGTTTTTTTTTTCTAACTGCACTATGACTGCAGATTGCACATAATGTTGAAACCGACTTGGACCCATCCACTTGAATTAAAAATCACCTAAAATAGCAAGACATAAAATGAAAGTACTATTACCTGAGGAGTTTGACAAGAGCTGGGATGCCTCCACTTTTAAAAATAGCTAAAAGACCTTGTCTGTGGTGTGATAAGTTATGCAAAGTTCCGACAGCGCCTTTGGTGGTTTCTAAGTCATCACTGTTAGATATTGCTCTAACCAAAGCAGCTACCATCTAAATTAAGAATTGAAAACAATTAAGACGTATTCTTTTGAGTTGAGAATTATTCCGTTTAATGGCATACTTGAGGGCTGTTCATAATGGCGTGTCGAGAAGCTTCCTTCTTTGAGAGTTGGTGAACCATCATAGCTGCTTGCGAGACGACAACTTGGTCCTCATCGTTTAGCAATTTGATCAACTCAGGTATAGCTCTTGTTGCAAGATCAGCATCATCCTGTGAAAACATGTATGTACCAACTTTATTTAAAAAAAAAAAAAAAAAAAAAATTACCTGATAATTTATCAAGTTGACGACTGCATGCTTTAACATTTGAGAAGGTTCTGCCAGTCTTTGAACAGCTGTAGCTTGGCCTTGGTCAAACTGAGTTGAAGGGATTTCAATTCCTTCTTCAAGTGTTTCTGGAAACATAGCAGCTCTCACTCTCTGAGATCTTGTCTGTGAAAGCTGCTGGTTCATTTCTGAAATAAAAGTAAAAAATTGAAAATGATGTATTTACTGTAATATTTATTTATGCATACCGTCAACTTGTTCCTGGGTGAATCCCTGTGTGAATCCCTGGCCCAAGTCGAACATTATTTGATCGCCATCCATGTCTTCTTCCTTTCCAGATAGGGAAGGTGCCTGGGTTGTCACTCCTGAATGGATACCGGAATCAGCCAGATAGTTGTTCTGTTGCCAGAGCAGGGTCTGATCCTTGTTTCCCAATGCCATATCCCCGCCTCCAGGATTGCTCTGGTAGTTCCCATGTGACACTTGAAAAAAATAAATAAATAAAGTAATCATCTTCAAGAAATGCCCATGTTGCAAATAATATATTGATACTTACTTGGTCTACTTTGGGCTGTCTGCATCTGATAACTCATCGTAATTAACAGGTGTTCTACAGCACCTAAATAAGAAAAAATGCATTAAAGAACACAACTTCTAACCATTACATATTAAAATTTGTTTTTTCTTTATTTTATATTACATTTATTTCCTTTAAAATACATGTCACGAGGAAAATATTTTGACATTGAGTATAAATGATTATTTTCATAAGATGCTTTTACATTTTTAGTGCCTTGGTGGCACGCAATTGACGTGTTTGTTTCAATCTGCAAAAGTTTCTTTTTTCCGTGATTTAACTTCACCAGTGGGTAGTCAATGCTAATAGGAATTTTTGGAACTTGCGTGAAAAAATTTTTGTTTCTCAATTAACAATTTGAAATATTCTAATTAGTGAAATCAATTAGAAATTGCACCAAAAGAAGGCTGATTGCCAATAACATTCTGAGCATTCAAAACCTCACTTTTGCCCCTTCAACCCTATTCTAACAATCATCACTCTCCATTCTGATCCGTTGAGAAAGCAGAATACATCGATGGCTTTCAATTGCAATTTGCAGAAGAATGAAAATGAACTGTAAAACATAATCTGAACAAAGCTAACAGAGGTAGTGCTATCTAAAATTTTCTAGCATTGAATAAATTCATTTCTTTTTAATCTAAAATTTTCTAGCATCGTACAATTTTTTTTTTAATTTTCTAGCATTGTATAAATTATTTTTTTTTAGCTAAAATTTTCTAGCATTTTATAAATTCTTTTTTTAATCTAAAATTTTCTAGCATTGTATAAATTCATGTTTTTTATCTAAAGTTTTCTATTATTGTACTTTTTTTTTATTTAAAATTTTCTCATTGTATAAATTTTTTTTTACCTAAAATGTTTTAGCATTGTATAAATTCTTTTTTTTATCTAAAATTTTCTAGCATTGTATAAATTCTTTTTTTTTATCTAAAATTTTCTAGCATTGTATAAATTCATTTTTTTCATCTAAAATTTTCTAGCATTGTATAAATTCATGTTTTTAATCTAAAATTTTCTATTATTGTATAAATTCGTTTTTTTATCTAAAATTTTCTAGCATTGTATACTCATTTTTTATCTAAAATTTTCTATCATTGTATAATTTTTTTTAATCTAAAATTTTCTAGCATTGTATAAACTCATTTCTTTTATCTAAAATTTTCTAGCATTGTATAAATTCTTTTTTTTTTATCTAAAATTTTCTAGCATTGTATAAATTCATTTTTTTTCATCTAAAATTTTCTAGCAATGAATAAATTCATTTCTTTTTAATCTAAAAATTTCTAGCACTGTATAAATTAATTTTTCTCACATACTACAAGCATTTGTAAAATTTTAACAATGTTTGCAAATCCCAGGCCCTGAAGATGATCTCAATAAAGATTGAAACGTTGCCACGACAAAAATTTTTTTTTTCTAAAACCGACATCACACCAGACCGCATCTCACGATTTCTGAATAATTATCTATTAACTGTCACTAATCACCACACATTAGCTTTATTAGCGATACTGCACTGCTTTTCTGCAGATATCATTGTCAGCACTCTCTCAAACTCCTTCAACTATTTGTTAGTAGATGTAAAACTATTCCTTGCCTCCCCTCAAAGAGTGTAAATCTTGTAAACTTGAAAAATAAAGTTTTTAAAAAGGAATCGTCAAATCAAATTTACTTATTTGAAGATAGTCTTATTTTTCTTTTAAAAAATTTAATGTAATCAATTTTTGTCATTATAGTACTGCAACATTGTATTATGTAAAAAGGGTTTGCTCTCCTTTTAAATAATTAAATAAAACGTCTCGAAAAAGCACGTTTATACAAATAAACGAAGAACAGATATGCAGCTTAGTCTTTTTATATGTATTTAATATTTTCAAAATGTAAACTGAGGCAAAAGAGTGAAATAAGAGCTGTGAAACCACTTACACCTTTTATCTGGTTTTATGTTATATGTTTAAGTTATGTTAAGTTTTTTATGTTGTTTTATGCTATATAGTTGAGAGATTATAGAGAATTGCTTTTAGTGTCAGTAAATCATTCGATATGCTTTTGTTTTGTTTTTCCGAAATGTGTGGTGATTAGTGACCGTTAGTCGAGGATTATTCAGAAATCGTGAGATGCTGTCTGGTGTGACATAGTTTTTAGAAAAACATTTTCTTGTCGTGCCAACGTTTCGATCTTTATTGAGATCATCTTCAGGGCCTGGGATTTACAAACATTGTTTGAATTTAACAAATACATGTAAGATGTGGAAAAAATTTATGAATTTATACAATGTAGAAAATTTTATATCCAATCAAATTATTTGTACACACTCAAAGCGTTTGTTTTCCATGTAGATGTGTCATTCGTCTGTCCGCACTCAACACGACAAGACAAATAGTATAAATTCATATTTTTTCTTTTTTTTATTTATATAAAATTTTCAAGCATTGTATAAATTCATTTTTTTTTTATCTAAAATTTTCTAGCATTGTATGAATTCATTTTTTTTCACATCCTTCTCATATTTGTAAAATTTAAACAATGTTTATAAATCCCAGGCCCTGAAGATGATCTCAATAAAAATCGAAACGGCACGATAAAGAAAATGTTTTTCTAAAACTTACGTCACACCAGACCGCACCTCACTATTTCCAAATAATTATTAACTAACTGTCACTAAACACCTCACTTATTTGGATATCGTGAGATACGATCTAGTGTGACGTAGGTTTTAGAAAAACATTTTCTTTATCATGCCAACGTTTAGATTTTTATTGAGATCATCTTCAGGGCTCAAAGTGTTTGTTTTCTGTGTAATTGTGCCATTCTTGAGTGTCGTGTTTTTTTATGTTAGTTTTGTTCTGCGTGTAATATTTTGGATTGTTGAAGTTGAAATTGTGTTTGTGTTCAAAATGGTGGGTAGCAAGTGCTGTAAGATTTTGCTTGGGTTTTTGCAATCATAGATGTCTCTCTTGTCCAGATATTGGGATGTAAGACCAATGTAAGTTGCCGGACAGTTTAAACAGTTGATTTTATAGATTACGTCAGATTTATTTGTTAATGGTGTCGGATCTTATCTCTATTTTGGAAAAAAGTGTTTGAATTGTTTTATAATTTTTGAAAGCTATTTTGAATTAATCGGACGAGAGAAATGCGTTCAATTTATTTGATAGGCATGGAAATGTATGTTGGTTTGTCTGTATTTGATAGATTTGATGTAGTATTATTAGTAATAGTGGATGGTGTTAGTGTTGAGTTGTAGTTGTTGATTATTCTGTTAATAATGTGTTTAGGGTAGAGATTGTTATGAAGGATCTATTTGTATATCTTTATGTTCTTGTGGTGAAATGATTCATGGCTTAGGGTAATAATTCTGTGAAGTAACCCTTTGACCGTGTTTATTATAGTAGGAAGAGGATGGTGAGATGTAGAGTTGAGGTTGCGATCTGTGTTTCTTGGTTTTTGATACCAATCTGTGTTTGGGACACTCTCAACACGACAGGCAAGAATGGCACAATTACACAGAAAACACTTTTTGAGCTCTGAAGATGATCTCAATAAGATCGAACGTGCACGATAAAGAAAATGTTTTTCTGAAACCTACATCACACCAGCATCTCACGATTTCTGAATAATCGTTTTTCAGAAACATCATTCGTGGAACGGAGGAATCTTTGTTTGGGGCGAGGAGGTAAACATGACCTAACAAAGCAACGGCCATGTTGGTTCATGTCCGAGCAAAAAGCCCACCCACTAGGTCAACCGGGTTCATTCCAGATTTCCTCTTTAAATCAAAAAGAGCCTAGATCAATGGTAAAGGGCCAATTTTCACAAGTTGAAAAACGCTTTTTCGCCTTCGAAAACCATTTCGATCGAATACTACAATCGTGGAAAGACTCAAGTCGAACAAGAAGAAAGGAACGATCGAAGAGCGATATAAATCACCGTACTCACCGTTTTTGACGAGAAGTCCCTTAAGCAGGCGATGGTCGGACGATCAAAATCAACTTGTTAAATTAAAGAAAAAATAAAACAGAAAAACCAAAAAGAAAAAGGAAAGGAGAGCCTTTCAACCCGTCTCGTCTCGAGTGAGGTTGCTCTTGCTTAGTTACTGCCTGAGTTTGTAGCGTACGACCGTCAGAGTTCATCAGCAATCTTTCGATTTTAACATCGATCTTTTGTTCGACACGTTCCAATTCTTGTTTCGAGAAGGCAAAGTCAAATACAACCAAATCAAAAGAACACAAACTATGTATTTATAAAAATACACAAATCGTTTTTGTAAAACGACTTTTACGAAAATAAAAACATTTTTTCATGACGGAAACTGTTCCGGTTAGGCTAATCGATGTGTTTTTCAAAAGGAGATAAGTGGAAAAGGAAATTCCTTTCAAAAGAGTCACCACTGAACGGATTAAGATATGGAATAAGAACACTTTTTACTAAACAGGTACTATACAAAAATAATCTTTATAAACTACTCAAACATGAGCTGGGATATTGCCAATTTCGTAGTATTTACTTTCCCTAGTATTTTTATTTTATTTTTATTATAAATTGCGTTAAAATTTATTAGAAATTATTAATTATTTGTAGATTGTGAGGTGCGGTCTGGTGTGATGTAGGATTTAGAAAAACGTTTTCTTTCGATCTTTATTGAGATCATCTTCAGGGCCTGGGATTTATAAACATTGCTTAAATTTTACAAATACATGTAGGATGTGAAAAAAGAAAAGGATGAATTTATACAGTACTAGAAAATATAGGTTAAAAAACAAAACAACAATGCTAGAAAATTTTAGATAAAAAAAAAGAATTTATACAATGATAAAAAATTTTAGATTAAAAAAAACGAATTTATGCAATGATAAAAAATTTTAGATTAAAATAACGAATTTGTGCAGATAGAAAATTTTTGATTAAAAAAAACGAATTTATACAATGATAAAAAAATTTAGATTAAAAAAATGAATTTATACAATGATAAAAAATTTTAGATTAAAAAAAATAAATTTATACAATGCTAGACAATTTTAGATAAAAAAATGAATTTATAAAATGGTAGAAAATGTTAGATTAAAAAAATGATATTATACAATTAGAAAATTTTAGATAAAAAAAATGAATTTATACAATTAGAAAATTTTAGATAAAAAAAATGAATTTATACAATGATAGAAAATGCTAGATAAAAAAAAGAATTTATACATTGATAGAAAATTTTAGAGAAAAGAAATGAGTATACAATGCTAGAAAATTTTAGATAAAAAGACTAATTTATACAATAGAAAATTTTAGATTAAACAAAAACGAATTTATACAATGATAGAAAATTTTAGATAAAAGAAATGAGTTTATACAATGCTAGAAAATTTTAAATTAAAAAAACATTATACAATGAGAAAATTTTAGATAAAAAATGAGTATACAATGCTAGAAAATTTTAGATAAAAAAACGAATTTATACAATAATAGAAAATTTTAGATAAAAAAAAACGAATTTATACAATGAGAAAATTTTGGATTAAAAAAAAGAATTTATACAATGATAAAAAATTTTAGATAAAAAAATGAATTTATAAAATGCTAGAAAATGTTAGATTAAAAAAATGATATACAATTAGAAAATTTTAGATTAAAAAAATGAATTTATACAATGATAGAAAATGCTAGATAAAAAAAAGAATATATACAATGATAGAAAATTTTAAATTAAAAAAATGAAATTATACAATGTTAGTAAATTTTATGTTTTTCTACTCTGTGTCCATCATCTGACAAAATCTGTCCCAAACAACCGGAACACCACATGCACTCCTTTCCGGCTTAAATCCAGTACAGATACTAAGAATATATTTCACTGTTAGCGGTTCTTGACACGTTGTCATCGGTGGAGGCTCCCTCGCCATGAGAAAACCATGAGTGAGTGAGGACGGTGAGGACCGTTTCTTCTTTACAGGAGGTTCGAGTGGCGGTGGGCCTTTGTGTTACACCTTCCTTTCCTTTTCGTTTGTTAAGATTCAATTCAAGCCATTCATTACCACTTTTACCAAATTGATATCTTGATATGGGTGAGAAAGTTCCCCTGATACTTGATTTATCCAAATCCCTTCCGTGACCGCCGGTTTGGCCACCGCGTCAGCAAGATCGTTGCCACGAATGTCACAATGACACCGAAGGCAACAAAGGAGAGATTGGGTGCAAGAAATGGAAGCTTAATGTAATGTAATATTTATTATTTTATGTGTTAATGTAATATTTCAAGTCTAAGAGATTTTGACGATATTAACTCTCCTGTTTCACAAGAAAGACTATGACTGGGCTGGTGCGATAGGTGCCAATGGCAATTCGCAATGCCATATTATGAACACTGTTTAAAATCATTATTTGGAGATCGTGAGATTTGAAAAACAGTTTCTTTATCGTGCCAACGTTTCGATCTTTGTTGAGATCATCTTCAGGGCTCAAAGCGTTTGTTTTCTGTGTAGATATGTCATTACTATGTGTCGTGTTGAACGTTAAATATGTGGTGTTTAGTGACCGTTAGTTAATGATTAATAGAAGATCATGAGATGCGGTCTGGTGTGACGTAGGTTTTAGAAAAACATTTTCTTTTTCATGCCAACGTTTCGATCTTTGTTAGATCATGTTCAGGGCTCAAAGTGTGTTTTCTTTTTAGATATGTCATTATTGTGTGTCGTGTTAAGAGTGCCTCCAAATAATCATTAACACTGTTTAAAATATTCAGTGTGAGGGCACTAGCGGACCCATAGGCAACGCATCCATAATCAAGTCTAGATCTGATCAGTGGCTTGTAGTTCAACATGGTTGTCCGATTAGCTCCCCAGGAAGTTGAGCTAACAGTCCTCAGTATGTTAAGAGTTTTATTACAGTTCACCCTCGGGGTTTGAAATGAGAAAAACCCAACTCAAATTTCTCTCAAATAGAAGTCCAAGATAAGAAGCAGAATTGTACTTTCGCTTCATTCTGTGCCTTCCTGTTTTAGACGTATGGGTGAACGGTTTACTGCCCCAGGTTGTCAGTCATTTCTGGGGGTCAATGATGTGGCAGCCGTTGCTAGTTAAGAGTGCTGTTATTTGTGGGGAGTAACCTCGACCCATAATCAGCTAAATGCCAGAAGATCGGGATAGGGGTAGAGGAGGTCGTTTGTGTCAAAAAGTTTTTCCAGCATTCCCTTTTATTTTATTTGATCACATGCCAAACTTGTTTTTTTGGCTTCTTTGTAACTCTGGAGGTGCTCGCTAGATGGCCTGCGAATAAATGTAGTAAGAGCACTTTTTCGTTACTTAGTAGCCTCCTTAAAATTCGAGTTTCACCAGGATACTGATTTGTATCAAGGGTAACAAGGCTTGGTGCGAGGGATAGCTGTATGTGCTGCCCGTAGAAACTTACAGTTTAGGGAATCAATCAGGTGGCCAGCAGGCTCACTAGTGTCAAAGTCGGCAAGTCATACCGACGTTCGGTACAAAGTCCTGTCTGCCAACGACTCCGACGAGGCATGTCTAGGTGTTCAATGTCCAATATCACTATGATAGGGAAATGATCGCTCCCTTAGGAATCTGATAGTACATGCCACGAAAGTAGTGGATGCAAAACAGGACTGGAAAGAGTGAAATCAATTGCTGAAAGTTTTCCCGATATACTAAAAAGTGAGTAGGGGAACCGGAATTTAAAATATTCAATTTAAGTTTAAAAATGATTCTATTATTCGCCCTGATCTATTGGTCCTATCCCCACCCCATAAAGGGTGTGGGCATTGAAATCACCAACAGACACAGCCTGGGTAGCTGGTTAAAACGGCGGTCAGAACTAAGTACAGCCCAGGAGCGAGCAAATGGTGAATTGTAGAGGGAAAGTATCTTTATAGCTACAATTTGTAACTCAATATGTATGGATATATATGATGGGGATATCGTTATTGACAAGAATACAGACACCGCTACATGCCACGCTGCCACCAATATAGTCGTTTCTGTACATGGTGAAATGTCGAAGGTTTAGATTCCTAGATGGGTGGGTGTGTTTCTTGTAGGCAAATTATTGAAGATTTTTAATAAGGTATACCCTTTCGTATTTGTGGAGCATAAGCCCGTTTATATTCCACTGAAGGATTATCCTATTTGTTAGGGTAAGCTAAAATAGTTGTATTATGCTTTTTTTTTATTTATCTTTGAAATGTTTTTTGTTCGAGGGTTTACAGAATTCTTGGAGGTATTGGATATTATGTCAGCAGTAGAGTTGTTACGGTGGCTCGAACTCTGAGATGCGGGTCTTTTTAAAATGTTTCCGCCCTTTTGGTTTGGTTTGGATAATACTATAAGGGGGATAGTATTTGAATTGGAAATTGTATGCCTGCAGTAAGCTCGGTGGTGAAGGTTCCGTTTCGGTTTTTGATGTATAGGAGGTTGCTGATTAAGGGACCGTAATCACTAATTGTTCGTTGGTTGGAGTACTGTCCTATTTTTTTTTGGGGGGGGGGGAAGTAAAGGTTGTTGATTTTTTGAACTGAGTTAGCGTAAAGCGTCAGCTTCTGTTTAATATAAGGGAGGACTGGTCAGATTGGCTCGGGACCGGCCAGCGGCGAAAGGGATGAAGGAGGTACAGATGATCCAACGACCTGAGAATACGAGTGCAATCCGGGTTTCGTACTATCTAGGTTTTAACCGTAATTTCTGCTTGTCTGTATGGGACTTTATCTTTGCTCCTGATTTTTTCAATGGCTCTTTCTTTCTGGTATACATGACACGACCGATCAGATGCAGCATGGGGGATCTGCGCAGTGGACACATTTTAGATCGTTAACACATTCATTCCCGTCATGTGAGAAATCTCCACATTTACATCAATTCTTAAGCAGTATGTCTTAGTGTGCCAATAGCGATAGCATGAGTAAAACTTAAGTGGTGTGTATTCGAAAGGACGGATACGAACACTTAAAAATTAGAATGTAAGTTTTTAGAGTAGTACCGGGAGCTCAGAAGTTATGATGAGAGTGGGAGATGGAATTTGGAAGTTAACTGTTTTATAGTTTAACTTTCGTGACTCCCTGAGATCGTAGTTCTTCTGCTATCTCCGCCTCAGAACAGGGTAAAGCTGGGCGCACACT